AGCATTTCCAGCTAAAAATTCTTGAAGAGTTATATATGTGTTGCTTGTGCTAGTTTGACTTTCTTGAGTACTGTTCAGCTGGGTGTGGGCTGCTAGTTTAATGCATCTATTCTTTGCCTGCCCTATTACTTACTGTACACTAAGCCCTCTGCTTTTTCTTTTCCTTGCTCAGATTTCAAATTTATTTTAAACTGTATCTGATTCTGTGTCTGAGAGTTATTGAAATGGAAAGCACCAGATAAGCAGTCTCCAAGCCCTTTCACTTTGTTATCCCCAGTGATTGTGATCAAATGGATGGAGGTCAGAGCTGGGGCCAAACTATTAGTTAAGAAGCACCCCTGAGCATGAGTACAGAAGCTGGGGCAAACTTTGGCCCTTTGACTGTTCAGATTAAAGCCAGCTCCCATGTAACCCCATCCACAGGTCCGATTGCTTTTATGCCATCTCCTTTTACATATGAGAGGACAAATTTATATTCCTTTTATACCCCAGTGAAGTCAGCTGATTTTCTCTAAGTAATTAAGGACAGATTTTGGCTCAAGGTTTCACTTGTGTAACACCTAGTAGGTGAGGCTACTAGGTGTTACACAAGTGACACCCACTTTAGTTGGGTGTCAGAAACAGATTAGCTGAAAGAAGCTTTTCCCACTAATTGGTCTTTAAGCAATATTCATCTCTCTCATCGCCCAGTTCACTCACCTACAGGAGGACAAAGAACTAGATGCCTGGATATGCCTTCATCAGATCATTTTGCATACTGTGTCTGTGATGCTCAGTGACTATATTAACCTTTGGAGCATACTAATGTGTCTTTAAAGCAGTTATAGGTGGACTGCCAGGAGGTGTATTGCATCTATAAATATCAAAAATATTTTTCCTGGGGGAGCTGGATAGCTTGGAGGATGCTAATGCATGGAAAGAGGGTCTTTCACCTCTGCAATGGGTGTCAGCTTTGCAGTTTAAGACAGCAGTGATTTGGAAGTTGTTACATGCACCCTTCTGCTGGATGTAAAAGGACTGGTGGTCCCAGTCCAGTTCCTGATGGACAATACCACATCATCCCTGCATTTATCATGAAATGGCAGCTTGACACTAATCTTCATAGAAGGGTGGGCAGTGGAAACATATTCACATTTGCTCCTTGGAAGCAGTTTCACCCAGGTAGGCAGTGAAACACTTCAGCTCAGCAATGTGGGAGAAGCTTATGCTACCCCACTCTTGGCTGAATAGGGGATTTCGGGTATGGTACGAGAACTGTCTGGTACTCTTAATAATTGCTTTTCATTTTGGGAGGGAAGGGAATTTAAAGGTAAAGTTCCCCTCATCATCAGTGAACTGATAACCCTTCTAACCTGTCTGTTACTTTAGCACTGCCTTGGGACAGTTGCTCACTTATCTCCAAAACGAGGGGCATTCATACCTGCATGTAGCAGCACTAAAATGTATCCAAAGTCCTTCCAGAATTGTCATTTGCACAAAGATACTTGAGCATCTTCCTCTATGTGTTTAAGTGGTGCAGCTGCTAGTATCCTCCTGAGCAGAGGGAAATGACAGGTTGGCAAAAGAAAGCATTAGATATCCTCAGTGCTAGCTAATGGTGTCCAGTCATGTAGATTAGTTTAATGAAGACAGAGGCCAGTAGTTGTAGATTAGCTGTACTAGAGCAGTGCTTTATTGTCCACTAATCATGACCTATCTTCTTGCTGCACTTTTCTACCCAACATTTCCCTACTAAATTTCTCAGCAAGCTACTGTCATAGCACCACCTAATGTCTGACTTGGCAACTTCAGTTTGTCATTAATTCAAGAATGTGATAGAGAGGCGATGGTGGAAAGTCAAAAGGCAGGCCTTTTTATTTGCTTATGATCTCCTAATGCAGCAGTTTAACTACTATCACAACTGCCTTTTGCTACTTTGATTCCCTAATCCTGACATCATTTCAGGAAGGTGGTCTTCCCAGAGATCTGATGAAGTCTTTTTGTATGGAAGTGGGTAACATGCAAAGAGCAAGTGATGTCTGAATAGGTGAGGGTTGAAAACCTCATTTGATGGATGAATGAGGAGCTCTAAGGCATCCATAAGGCACTTCATGTGAAATATGGGCTCTTAAATAGAAATGGCATGGAAATACAACTGAAAATGTGCTGCTTAAGGAAAGTGGATCCTTTTGGGGAGGGTAGGATCCTGGAATTGGTGGGATACTGGCCTGCTAATTCTGAGAGAAATAAAATTAGAGAGCCTGGTAGGGTGTTTTGAAATTTATGCTGCTAATTTCAGCTGAAATGTATTGCTGAATAGACTTTTGTTGCAAAATTTCCAGCATTTCCTATTTCTAATGAGGTCAGATGCACAGAAAGAATTTTGGCACTTCTGGTGCATATCTGTTTAGTTTACTGTCAAAACCTAGTTTATGAGCATTATAGACCCAAAAGTACACATTTCCATCAACTCTGTTATGTTACGGTAATGATTCAAAATCCTGCCCTTCTTAAAGCTAAGTCCCATGTGATTGCCTGGATCCTGGCATGAAAAATGACTCCAGCCCGAGCACTGAACTATTCTACCCCATAGGAAATTCCAAGGCTAGGGAAGGAGGGATGGGGAAACAGCTATTTTAAGGAGAATTCTTTGAATTCTTCAGTTATTGTGGTTGAGTTTATTAAGCCTTTATAAGTATCCATAATCCCAAGCAGCAAAAATGCGAGGTTCTTCCCTGAACCTTTTCAGATGCCCACCGCATTGTCCACTTTTAAGGTAAAGAGCCATCCAAATGGAAACTGTGTGCCTCCCCTGTCCCAATGTTTTATCTCAGTCACTTGGCAGTGTCGTTCCATTAAGCCCAAAACCAAGGTCATAGTTTCTAGGGTCAGAAGGTACCTGAGTAGATCATCTAGTCCGACACCCTGCCTTGGCAGGAAAGAGTACTGGGGTCCTTGGAGTTGCTTCCCAGAAAGGCTCTCCAGGGCTAAGTTTGCATTAGATTTCCAGAGGAAATTCTTTGGGTTGCTGCACCCTTGCTTCTCGGCCTGCCGTTTTCCTTCTCCTTCCCAGGCACAGTGCTGTGGAGGTGACTAACCTGCATTTATGAGGATTTTAGAAGTGGAGGGAAAGAAGAATTAAATTAGTAGAAGAAGCAGAATTAACTCGGGGGGGGGGGGGGGGGGA